CTTTGATCCATTCTCTCTAAATGACCAAACCACCTCAACAACCCCTCTTCTGCCCTCTGACTAATGCTTTTATTAACTCCACACCTTCTCCTAATTTCCACACTCCAAATTTTCTGCATAATATTTACACCACACATTGCCCTTAGACAGGACATCTCCACTGCCTCCAACCGTCTCCTCGCTGCTGCATTTACCACCCAAGCTTCACATCCATATAAGAGTGTTGGTACTACTATACTTTCATACATTCCCTTCTTTGTCTCCATAGATAACGTTTTTTGACTCCACATATACCTCAATGCACCACTCACCTTTTTTCCCTCATCAATTCTATGATTAACCTCATCCTTCATAAATCCATCCGCCGACACGTCAACTCCCAAGTATCTGAAAACATTCACTTCTTCCATACTCCTCCTCCCCAATTTGATATCCAATTTTTCTTTATCTAAATCATTTGATACCCTCATCACCTTACTCTTTTCTATGTTCACTTTCAACTTTCTACCTTTACACACATTCTCAAACTCATCCACTAACCTTTGCAATTTTTCTTTAGAATCTCCCATAAGCACAGTATCATCAGCAAAAAGTAACTGTGTCAATTCCCATTTTGAATTTGATTCCCCATAATTTAATCCCACCCCTCTCCCGAACACCCTAGCATTTACTTCTTTTACAACCCCATCTATAAATATATTAAACAACCATGGTGACATTACACATCCCTGTCTAAGACCTACTTTTACCGGGAAGTATTCTCCCTCTCTTCTACACACCCTAACCTGAGCCTCACTATCCTCATAAAAGCTCTTTACAGCATGTGGGTGAGATGTTATCAACAAATTTTGTTGAAAATAAGAAAAAGTTTTGGAGTGAGATTAACAAGTTAAGGAAGCCTAGAGAACAAATGGATTTGTAAGTTAAAAATAGGAGAGGAGAGTTATTAAGTGGAGAGTTAGAGGTATTGGGAAGATGGAGGGAATATTTTGAGGAATTGTTAAATGTTGATGATGATAGGGAAGCTGTGATTTCGTGTATAGGGCAAGGAGGAATAACGTCTTGTAGGAGTGAGGAAAGCCAGTTGTGAGTGTGGGGGAAGTTCGTGAGGCAGTAGGTAAAATGAAAGGGGGTAAGGCAGCCAGGATTGATGGGATAAAGATAGAAATATTAAAAGCAGGTGGGGATATAGTTTTGGAGTGGTTGGTGCAATTATTTAATAAATGTATGGAAGAGGGTAAGGTACCTAGGGACTGGCAGAGAGCATGCATAGTTCCTTTGTATAAAGGCAAAGGGGACAAAAGAGAGTGCAAAAATTATAGGGGGATAAGTCTGTTGAGTATACTTGGTAAAGTGTATGGTAGAGTTATTATTGAAAGAATTAAAAGTAAGACTGAGAATAGGATAGCAGATGAACAAGGAGGCTTTAGGAAAGGTAGGGGGTGTGTGGACCAGGTGTTTACAGTGAAACATATAAGTGAACAGTATTTAGATAAGGCTAAAGAGGTCTTTGTGGCATTTATGGATTTGGAAAAGGCATATGACAGGGTGGATAGGGGGGCAATGTGGCAGATGTTGCAGGTGTATGGTGTAGGAGGTAGGTTACTGAAAGCAGTGAAGAGTTTTTACAAGGATAGTGAGGCTCAAGTTAGAGTACATAGGAAAGAGGGAAATTATTTCCCAGTAAAAGTAGGCCTTAGACAGGGATGTGTGATGTCTCCGTGGTTGTTTAATATATTTATAGATGGGGTTGTAAGAGAAGTAAATGCGAGGGTCTTGACAAGAGGCGTGGAGTTAAAAGATAAAGAATCACACATAAAGTGGGAGTTGTCACAGTTGCTCTTTGCTGATGACACTGTGCTCTTGGGAGATTCTGAAGAGAAGTTGCAGAGATTGGTGGATGAATTTGGTAGGGTGTGCAAAGGAAGAAAATTAAAAGTGAATACAGGAAAGAGTAAGGTTATGAGGATAACAAAAATATTTGGTGATGAAAGATTGGATATCAGATTGGAGGGAGAGAGTATGGAGGAAGTGAATGTATTCAGATATTTGGGAGTGGACGTGTCAGCGGATGGGTCTATGAAGGATGAGGTGAATCATAGAATTGATGAGGGGAAAAGGGTGAGTGGTGCACTTAGGAGTCTGTGGAGACAAAGAACTTTGTCCTTGGAGGCAAAGAGGGGAATGTATGAGAGTATAGTTTTACCAACACTCTTATATGGGTGTGAAGCATGGGTGATGAATGTTGCAGCGAGGAGAAGGCTGGAGGCAGTGGAGATGTCATGTCTGAGGGCAATGTGTGGTGTGAATATAAGGCAGAGAATTCGTAGTTTGGAAGTTAGGAGGAGGTGCGGGATTACCAAAACTGTTGTCCAGAGGGCTGAGGAAGGGTTGTTGAGGTGGTTCGGACATGTAGAGAGAATGGAGCGAAACAGAATGACTTCAAGAGTGTATCAGTCTGTAGTGGAAGGAAGGCGGGGTAGGGGTCGGCCTAGGAAAGGTTGGAGGGAGGGGTAAAGGAGGTTTTGTGTGCGAGGGGCTTGGACTTCCAGCAGGCGTGCGTGAGCGTGTTTGATAGGAGTGAATGGAGATGAATGGTTTTTAATGCTTGACGTGCTATTGGAGTGTGAGCAAAGTAACATTTATGAAGGGGTTCAGGGAAACCGGCAGGCCGGACTTGAGTCCTGGAGATGGAAAGTACAGTGCCTGCACTCTGAAGGAGGGGTGTTAATGTTGCAGTTTAAAAACTGTAGTGTAAAGCACCCTTCTGGCAAGACAGTGATGGAGTGAATGATGGTGAAAGTTTTTCTTTTTCAGGCCACCCTGCCTTGGTGGGAATCGGCCAGTGTGATAATAAAAAAAAAAAAAAAATATGAGTAGACCTTCTGCAGTGTTCCTCTATTCTTATGTTCTTATGTGGGATAATGATGAAGAAGTTTCTTTGCAAGGGGTTCAGCTATGTTATAGAAGCCATTGTTTTGATTGAAGTTGTTGGATATACAGATAAGTGATGATTACAGGATTCTACAGTATTGAGTGTTTTCTTCTCTGGCGATAAGTCTTACATTTCTGTAGTTGATTAAATGGTTGTATGAATTTCAGTGTTGAACAGAGGCATTTTTTAAATCGTTCAATCTGCCTGCGTACTGGTGTTTTGAAATACGTGTTTGGAAGTTTCTGGATGTTTCGCCCACGTATAATTTGCTGCTGTCATGACGGGATTATGTATACCCCTGCAGAGGACTGAAGCTTGTCCTGTCTATTACTGGTAATGTCCTTAATGGGGGTGGAAGCAGAGGTAGATACTTGGAATAAGGTATTGGAAAAGATGTTGGAAACGTGTTTGGCAATGGAGTTGGTGGGGAGGACTATGTATCTCCTTTCGGCAGTGTCTTTTTTGGGTGTGTTAAAGATGTTATATGCCCAGTGTCTGCAGTCTCTAATAATGTGCTGAAGATAGGGAAGTTTAGAAAACACTTGTTCAATTAGCGAGCACTCTTCCTCAAGGAACTCACTGCTGCAAATTCGGAGTGCACGCAGGAAAAAGCCTATACGTAATTACACCATGTTTAGTTTTGGTATCGTGGTGAGAGTAGAAGTGGAATAATAAAGGCAAATCGTTTGGCTTCCAGGTGTTCCGTGTACTGGCGAACCTACTGTACAGGAAGGCCCTGCTTATACTACTGGTTAGGTTCCGAGCTACTGCTTTACAGGAAGGCCCCACTTATACAACATGTTAGGTTCCGAGCTACTGCTGTACAGGAAGGCCCCACTTATACAACATGTTAGGTTCCGAGCTACTGCTGTACAGGAAGGCCCCACTTATACAACATGTTAGGCTCCGAGCTACTGCTTTACAGGAAGGCCCCACTTATACAACATGTTAGGCTCCGAGCTACTGCTGTACAGGAAGCCCCCACTTATACAACATGTTAGGCTCCGAGCTACTGCTGTACAGGAAGGCCCCACTTATACAACATGTTAGGCTCCGAGCTACTGCTGTACAGGAAGGCCCCACTTATACAACATGTTAGGCTCCGAGCTACTGCTGTACAGGAAGGCCCCACTTATACAACATGTTAGGCTCCGAGCTACTGCTGTACAGGAAGGCCCCACTTATACAACATGTTAGGCTCCGAGCTACTGCTGTACAGGAAGGCCCCACTTATACAACATGTTAGGCTCCGAGCTACTGCTGTACAGGAAGGCCCCACTTATACAACATGTTAGGTTCCAGGCTACTGCTGTACAGGAAGGCCCCACTTATACAACATGTTAGGCTCCGAGCTACTGCTGTACAGGAAGGCCCCACTTATACAACATGTTAGGTTCCAGGCTACTGCTGTACAGGAAGGCCCCACTTATACAACATGTTAGGTTCCGAGCTACTGCTGTACAGGAAGGCCCCACTTATACAACATGTTAGGCTCCGAGCTACTGCTGTACAGGAAGGCCCCACTTATACAACATGTTAGGCTCCGAGCTACTGCTGTACAGGAAGGCCCCACTTATACAACATGTTAGGCTCCGAGCTACTGCTGTACAGGAAGGCCCCACTTATACAACATGTTAGGCTCCGAGCTACTGCTGTACAGGAAGGCCCCACTTATACAACATGTTAGGTTCCAGGCTACTGCTGTAAAGCAAAAATTACTGTAAAGTGAAACATAGCTTTTTTTTCACTTTCAGATGCATATAAAAGCCTGATGACTCTTTACACCATCATATATTAAGTGAGCAATATAGCTAGGACTAAAAAAAATGCATGTAGTGTGCACACATTACTAAACTTAAAACATTTTCATCCTTGCCTTATAGTTAGTGGTGAATATATTTATTGTAGGAAGTCTGAATAAATGAAGATTGGGTATAGTAATTGAAAACTGCTGCATTAGCGATATCTTGTTAAGCAAGGAACTGTAAAGTGGGGCCTGCCTGTAGTTGTGATTACTGTGGTTGTGGTGGTGTTTGAACTAACATATTGCTTGTTAATACTTCAGAGGTTCGTGAGCAGTTAAGAGCCTGGAGAGAGGACAACACTCGTCACAGTGAAGAGGTCATAGACATGTGGGAGTACTGCCTCAAACATTATAAACACAAACTGGGAGACGAGCGTAAGTTCACATTTACTGTTTTTAATGTATCAATAAATATTTTGTTTGATCTTCTAAGTAAATTAGTATTGTTTTATATTATGTTTATTAGTGAAGATAAAGTAACTGTTAAAAACATTTACAGTTGTTCGTTTAATTATTTCTTCAGTATATGTTGATTTTGATTATCTCTCATTTTACTGATGCTCAGTAATATTAACAGTATTGGCATACCAAACCATACCCCCGGCCGGGATTGAACCCGCGGTCATAGAGTCATTACGATTTCTTGAGTCAGTATTGGCATACTTTGCATAGTAAACTGGTTAATAACTGCTAAAAAAAATTCTGTGATATGCAAAGCTGCACTGTTTATAACATTGTTATATTGTGTTACAGTGTAATACATTCCAAACAAACAGTTATAATACAATATTGGGAAAAAAATAATTACTCATCATTTGCTTGCCACAAGGTCACCAGAAATACTAATTAACCCTTTGACTGTAGAGACCCCAAATCTCTCTGTGTCGCAAAATATTCGAAAAAATTAAATTTTTTCTTATGAAATGATAGACAATCTTTTCCTGATGGTAATGACACCAAAAGTACGAAATTTGATGGGAAACTTACAGAATTACGCTCTTGCGAAGTTAGCAATCTCGGCGATATACGTATACGTATCGGCGATTTTGCCCACTTTGAGCCCTATTTTCTGCCAATTCCATTGTTCCAGTCGACCAAACTCATAGCTATTTCTTTAGAACTCCATTTGTTCTATTGACTGAGTACAAGAAACCATTTACCGATTTCAACTACCCAATAAAGTGGTCAGAAATTGGTAATTTGGCCAATTTCATGCAAATAAAAAAGATGCGAATTTCAAAATAGGGTCCAGGATAAACAGTACAGACATTCCTGGCACCAAAATAACATTTTCTCTGTTCATTATTCACGTCTCCAGGCCCCTCTTATATTACTCTTGCTTTCTATTTTAAATTTTTATTCACACAAAAAAATAGAAGATTTACTGTTGTGCAGACTACTGCATTATTGTAATGTATGAATAATGTCAACCTATTTGTGACTGCGTATTAGAATGGCCAGTTGGACATGTATTGGAAGGTGATGTCATTTGTTTACTCTTGAACATCGGCAAAAATTGAACATTTCTGCTACTTTGAGCTCAATTTCAAAGTCCCTTTCATCGTTAAACCAATCAAAATCATCTTTATTTCTGTAATTTATCTTTAATTTTATCAAATGAGACCAAGAAAACGAGAATACAGTACAATCATAATTTTTTTTTTTTTTTTTTCTACAAGTCGGCCGTCTCCCACCGAGGCAGGGTGACCCAAAAAAGAAAGAAAATCCCCAAAAAGAAAATACTTTCATCATCATTCAACACTTTCACCACACTCACACATTATCACTGCTTTTGCAGAGGTGCTCAGAATACAACAGTTCAGAAGCATATACGTATAAAGATACACAACATATCCCTCCAAACTGCCAACTGTAATTTCTTTACAATTAGGTAATTTTTCACAGTGGGGGCAAATGCATGGTGTAGCCAGTCATAGAAAAAGTTCCTAGTGACCCATGTCTTACTGTTTGCCCTCCACAGCACACACAAATTAGCCTTGAGGACATTCTTTTGCCTGAACACTCTGGAAGTTTCTGAGTGATACGCCAATAAAGGCTTCACTTTGCAATCACCACTAGCGTTAGCACAGAATAAAAGAGTAAGCCTGTCTTTCATAGGCTTATGTCCTGGGAGTGCCTTTTCCTCCTGAGTAATGTAGGCCCTGCTTGGCAATTTCTTCCAAAACAGGCCTGTTTCATCGCAATTAAACACTTGTTCAGGTTTCAAGTCTTCACTGTCTATGTAATCCTTGAATTCCTTCACATATGTTTCAGCTGCTTTTTGGTCTGAACTAGCAGCCTCGCCAAGCCTTATCACACTATGTATGCGACTACGAATCTTAAATCTTTCAAACCAACCTTTGCTGGCCTTAAATTCACTCACATCAGCACTAGTTGCAGGCAGTTTCTTTACCAAATTGTCATGCAACTGCCTAGCCTTTTCACAAATGATCGCTTGAGAGATCCTATCTCCTGCTATCTGTTTTTCATTTATCCACACCAATAATAGTCTCTCAACATCTTCTAACACTTGCGGTCGCTGTTTCGTAATCACAGTTGCACCTTTTGCAAGAACAGCTTCCTTGATTGCCGTTTTCCTGGCCACTATAGTAGCGATGGTTGATTGGGGTTTCGTATACAACCTGGCCAGCTCCGACACACGCACTCCACTCTCGTACTTTTCAATTATCTCTTTCTTCATTTCAATAGTTATTAGCACCCTTTTTCTTGAAGGGTTGGCACTAGAAGCTTTCTTGGGGCCCATAGTGACTTATTTTGCAGAAACAAGCACCAAAAACACTGTGATAATATGGAATGTACAGAATGTATGCTTAGATGCTGGCACACTGGCTGGCTCGCTTGTAAACACTGGCATGCACGGGGCAGTTCATGCCACATGTGGACATGTCTCGGACGAATCGCGTATACCGGGTTTTTTAACGCGAACCGAGGCAAAATTTTTGCGTTAAAATGTATAGTATACCGGATTTAACGTATACCGATGCCTTCGTGTACCGGGGGTCCACTGTATATACGTGGGTTAATACCCACTAAAAATTAAAAAGGATTAAATTAAAACAAAATTTTTTTAATTTTATTGTTTATAACTGAACACAAATTCCTTGACTTGAATTATTATCTGACTTATTGGAGTTTTATTTTCATTGCTGTCTTCACTCCATATCATCAAAAGTCACTGCTGAACTTGTGTGTCTAACAGTCACTTTTGTCGTATAAGATGTGCCTGTTCCATGTTTTATGATTTCATTTTTCATTTTAATCAAGGTTCATATTGATGACTTGTTCATGCCTTCATCACATGCTATTTTAGCTTAGTTGCATTTCCTCTTCCCACTCATAATTGCATATACAGCCTATCCTCACTTGACCCTTTCAGGGTTTCCGACGTACTAGTACCTCTTATGCACCAGGGTTATTGACGTACTAGTGCACGTAAATTCTAGCGCCTTTAAATCTAGCGAGAGAAAGCTGGTAGGCCTACATATGAAAGAATAGGTCTATATGGTCAGTGTGCACAGTATAAAAAAAATCCTTCAGCACACAGTGCACAATGAGAAAAAAAAACTTTGACCATGTTTTTTGTTTAAAACAGTGATTTTACACTGTATTTTCATATGGTGTTTATGGTTGTATTCTAGTTTTCCTGGTCTTATTTTATAGAAAGGAAGACATATTACAGAAATTGAGATGATTTTGATTGGTTTCATAATGAAAAGTACCTTGAAATTGAGCTCGAAGTAGCAGAAATGTTCGATTTTTACCAAAGTTCAAAAGTAAATAAATCATTCCACGCATCCAATACACATCAACTGGTGAGTCTAATATTCTTTCACAAGTGCGCTGATATTATTTATACCATTTCTACACTAATGCAGTAGTCTGCATAAGAAGAAATCTTTTATTTTTTGTGAGAATAAAAATTCAAAGTGGAATGCAAAAGAAATGTAAGAGGGGCATGGGGACATGACTAATGAACAATGAAAATGTTATTTTAGTGCCAGGAATGTCTGTCTTATTTATTCTGGACCCTATTTGGAAACTGGCATCTTTTGAAATTTGTGTGAAATTGGCAAAATTGCCAATTTTTGACCACTTTATTGGATAGTTGAAATCGGTAAATGGGTGGTTTCTTGTACTCATTCGATAGAAAAAATGGAGTTCTAGTGAAATAGCTACGATTTTTATCAACTAGTACACTGGAATTGGCTGAAAATAGGGCTCAAAGTGTGCAAAATCGCCTATGCGTCAACATCGTCAAGATCGTGATGAATGGTTTGAAAAACCGACAAGTCGAAGATTGAGACAATTATGCAGCATATGGGAATCTTTATTCCTGAATAAAGATTCCCATATGCTGCATAAGTGTCTCAATCTTCGAATCGTCAAGATCGCTAACATCGCGAGAGTATAATTCCATAAGTTTTCCATCAAATTTCATACTTGTGGTGTCCTTATGATTGAGAAAAGATTCTCTATTATTTCATAAGAAAAAATAATTTTTCTGAAAAATTTTCGACCCTGAGAACAAGTTTAGGAGAGGGCCTCTCGACTCTTAAAGGGTTAATGATGGAATTTTGCTCCTAAGACCATGTCGGTAAATTAATTTGTCACCAAGTGAGGAGCATTCTATAATGATAGTGGGTTTGTGTCAACCATCTTTGATATTGTTTTAATGTCACCTTTGCACCATTTATAACATTTCTGTATTTTTAAATGTTTATACAGTAGTGAACTGTATATTGAAATAAACAGAATAGAGGAAATCTGCTCTAATTTGCATTATTTAGGTATAAATACTGGTCAGAGAGCCCGTTGTAAATCCGAGGCATCAGTAAACGAGCATGTCGCTAAGTGAGGAGAGGCTGTATATAAAAGCACTCGTATCACTAAAAAATTGTAGAGCAACCACGACTTTTCTGCACTGATGCTGAAATAATACTAAAGCATTCATTGATATGGCACCTGTACCCTGCACCCTGGGTGCACACACTGTACTCACCAATTTGTGGTTGCAGGGGTTGAGTCATAGCTCCTGGCCCTTCCTCTTCACTGATCGCTACTAGGCCCTCTCTCTCCCTGCTCCATGAGCTTTATCAAGCCTCATCTTAAAACTGTGTATGTTTTTTGCCTCCACTACGTCACTTCCCAGATTATTCCACTTCCTGACAACTCTGTGACTGAAGAAATACTTCTTAACATCCCTTTGACTCATCGGAGTCTTCAACTTCCAGTTGTGACCCCTTGTTTTTGTGTCCCATCTCTGGAGCTTCCTATCTTTATCCACCTTGTCAGTTCCTTGCAGTATTTTATGTCATTATCATTTCTCCCCCAAACCTCCTGTCCTTCAGTGTCAT